GAAATTTTACGAGCAAAAATTTACAAGTTAAATCAAGGTTATGTTGAAAGAAGTATCTACATACTTGCCAAGATTACCATATTGCCAAGGCTTGGAAGAAGTTTGAACACAGAAGTCTTGTTAAAAGTGAAGTATCAAGTTGTAAATAACACTTGTGGAAATGTTATGATAAATATTTTTCAAGTATTAGGTCAAAAACCGAGATAAGCTGATTAATGGGTACAACCAAGGTGTTACACCCCGAGGAGATTGCACAGTTAAAGACATGTATTGAAGGCGGGCATATGACTCAGGTCTGCAGAAACACTAGGAGCACACTTAGAAGATCTGATGAGGCAAGGCGATCTGAAGAGACCTCGTCGATGAAACCAGAACAAGGGAAGAACAGGCGAAACTGCCTCAGGCGCCAGCAGCTCCGCCTCCCCCAGCACAATAACCTCAGGCAGAAAGACCTTGGGTAATTAATGTAATTCACTCGAAGGTTAACGAGAACGAAATTAAGGAGGAGACTCAGAAGGTAAAGCACCTGCAACATGTCTACCAAGTCAGGGACAAGAGACATCGGGCAGATGAGTGCTTGGGACCAGTAGTGTCTTTTACCGAAACGGACCCCGAGATGGTCCAGCACCCGCATAATGATGCTTTGGTAGTATCCCTCCAGGTTGGGGAGTGCCAAGTGAAACACATCCTGATTGACCAAGGAAGCTCTTGTGACATCACATATGTCCGATGTTACAAGGAGCTTGGCCTTCATCCAGACGATATGGAGCAACCCAATGGCCCAATGGTTGGGTTCAAAGGAACGCCGACGTGGGCACTAAGAGCAGTAAGCTTGGAGATGCAGGCTGGCACCAGAAAGATCACAACAGAATTCACCATCATCGACACTCCATCTCCTTACAAATCTTGGGAAGATCATGGTTGTATGCAATGAGGGCAGTTCCCTCAACATTGCATTAACTACTGCGGTTCCCAACAAAACATGGGGTTGAAGAAGTCAGAGGAGATCAACTGCAGACGGAGAATTGCTCCATGGCAGCAATGAAGTCCACCTGCAGCATTCGAAAATCGGAGAAGGAAGAGATTGAAGACGAGGACATGAAGGTCCTAGATGATGTCGGCAAGGAACCAGCCGAGAAAAGTGAAAAAGCACTAAAGAAAGCCCTCGTCCAAGAGGATGATCAAGAACATTTCTTTCTTATCGGCTCGGGCGTAGCCGAAGAAGAAGAAAGAAAACTGAAGACTTTTCTGAGAGCAAATATAGAGGTGTTCGCTTAGACACCTTATGAAATGTCTGGCATTGACCCCGAGGTCACATGCCACAAATTGAACGTCGACAGGTCGGCCAAACCTGTAATCCAACGAGCAAGAGGGCCAACGTTGATACATGTCGAAGCAGTAGAGGAAGAAGTAGACAGATTTCTGGAGCTCATGGCCATCCGAGAAGTCAATTACCGACATGGCTATCAAATACAGTGGAAGAATGAATAATAATCAAGGAGCAAGGAATGTTAACATCAGCCAACAACAGACATTTTTTAGAAGCAAAAAAGGTTACATATGCAAAGAAAACAAAAGTACAAAGATAAAGACTCTAAGAACTAGGGACTAAGGCAAGAATGTCGGACTAATCTACTTCAACGGTTGACGGTGGTTCAGCATTGACAGTCAGCTGGGAGAGCTTCTCTACCATTATCTCGACAACAATTTCAAGAAGGGACATGGTTCTAAGACTATGCAGAAAACAGAAACGAAGGCAAGAATCTGGAAATACAACAAGAAAAACAAGAAAAGAAAAATCATAGTCAAGAAGACGACAAAGTTCAAGAATAAAGCCAAGTGCACAGGCACTAAATAAGTATGTGAAGAACAAGAAAGTAATGAACCAGACATGATACTAGCAACAGAAAGCGGATATGACGAGAACAGTTCCAGGCATTTTAGCAATAAAAAATCAAAAACTTGAAGACAGACGAGAATAGAAGGTAACAGATGGCAGATAAACAGATTCAAAATAAATTAGAAGAGTTATGAAAAATTGAGCTTAATAGCAAGTAAAGAGTTTATGAACCTACCAAGTGAAATGAACGCCGATATGAAAATCGTCGGAGTCAAATAAATGACTAGAAATCGGGAACTCAACAGAGAGTGTGAGTGGAGCAGTTGTAAAGCTCTTGGAGTTTACGAATTAATGGAACCAGAACCTCGGCTAGGAGGTGCGATTTCAAGCAGCTTGGAAAGCATGAAACTTGATTCTTGACACAAGTGGACAGTAAGGTCCAGGGAACTTTGAGGTCTGTGAATATGATCTCGGACAGAGGGGCACAGATAAACGAACAGTGTAGGTTCCATCACCTCAGAATACCGAGGTAATAGAACCTAGGGGGCAGTTATGGGGATATATTTTCTAAGTACCAACATGTGGCAAGGTGACGCCGACGTGTCAGCCGAGGTACCACATGTCCTGGTCGGCCGAGGTGATCTCAGCAAGGCCGAGGTTATCTCCGAAGATATCAGAATCCGAGATAAATGGATAAGGGACAACAGTCCTAGAATGAAAAGGGAACTCAACCTGGATGAGGGACAAGAGTCCTAGAATGAGAGAAGACTTCAGTTTGTATTAAGATAAGACTCTTAGAGAGTTTATCCTAATCTTACTGGGAGTCCAAGATTAGCAGTAATCCTGAGTCCATAGAAGTTAGGCTTCTATTGAGACTAGGTTTATGTTGGCTATAAAAGAGAGGCACCTCCATGGGTCTAAGGTATGCTTTTGATACTCTAGCTTGTGAGTTTAGCACTTGATTATCTTTGAGAGATATACTGACTTGATCGTCGGAGTGCTCCCGGGTGGAAAAGCCACCGCCGGAGTCTTTTCTTTCTGTTGCAGGTCAGTCAGGTGCCATCTATTTTGCCGGTGCTCTCCAGCTGATTACTAAACGGACAGTGTGGTCAGAAAATCACCTACACAATTTATATTAATTTCAAATTAAAAATTGATAATTAAAAGAATTACTCCTATTTAATTTGTCGTTTCAAGTTATTTTCATAAACTGATTAAAGAATTCTTGTTGAGTTGAATTTTTTTATAGGACAGTGAAAAGGTCTGCTAGGATACATGGCACAAATCGTTTACTAATTTTTAAAAAATTATATAAAAAAAATTAGTATATGAAATGAATGTGTTATGTTATAAGGAATAAATGAACAGAGAGACGTTAGAAGTGGCATGAATTTTTAATGAAATAAAAGAAAACCGTTTGAAGTGTGTCATAAAGGACGAGTGGTCTAATTTGCATTGATTGTGTTTTAAAAAAAATGAATATATGTTAATGACAATCACATATACTATTTCATCAAATTTAGTATTCAATTTCTCGTAAGTTATCATCTCCTGGTAAGATTATTTTAAGATCGATTTCGGTGATTCGAACCATTCACTTTTTAAGACTCATTGAAAATGATATTCATGTCAAAAAAATTAAGTCAATTAAATATCAGTAATTATATGTTTAAATCATATTTATATATTTTAAAAATATAGACGATAAATATAATTTTAAGAATAACAATCCATTTTTTGTAATATAATTTTGATGCAAACATATAGCTATTGATATTCAATCATCTTATTTTTTATATAAATATTTTACTCAACAAATCTGAAAAGATGAACAATTCAGATAACCAAAATTAGTCTCAAAATGGACCTACAAAATCCAAACGCTCTCTCCATGTAAAATGACTAACTTAAGAGAAACTAAACCCTTAAAATTAATTACAAATGTATATAAGCATAATTCTTTTTTGTGTATGGAAAAATAGCAAAAATTACACCCCACAAAAATTCTTACTCATTTTTTTGTAATTATTTATCCTACCACTAGCTGATTTATAATTTTTCTATACAACTGTGATACAGAACACTAGGGTGCTGTTTGGTAACACTTACGTTTTCAGTTTTCTGTTTATATTTACAAAAATATTTATAATTTTTCTATACAACTGTGATACAGAACACTAGGTGTATAGCTCTAAATTAAGCTCTACATAGTTGGAGGGGGTAAAAATGAAAAAAGAAAAAAGACAAAAAGACAAATCGTAATGAGGAAAAAGACAAATTAGAGCTCTTTTAGAGCTCTTATTTTAGAGTTCCAAAACATTTTTGTTTTTTTATATATAAATAATCAAAATGACATGATTGTCTTAAATTAGCAAAAAAAATATTTTACTACAATAGCTGGTTAGAGCATTTCCAATCCATCATCAAATGTTTTTTCAAATTTGAATTTGATAAAAAAAAGCCTCATTTTGGCACTTCAATCTTTTCACTAAATTCATATTAAATAGAGAAAAAGTCAAAACTTTTATCGAATGAAAGGGACCTTTCATCTTTCATCAAACTTAAAATGTTATCGTTGAACCGAACATCTTTCCGGATGTCCACTCAAAAGTAACTTTGATAATTTTTTTTGTTTATATCCGGACAACCTTCAGGACATCCGCCTGAACGTTCTCCCGAATAATCGAAAATGTAAAAAAAATTAATAAAAATTTTAATGTTAGTATTAGAGTGAACTGTACAAAATCAAAATTTTATTCAAATTTATAAAAAAAAAATTATTCAACGGCGGAGATAATCTTATTAATTTATGGAAAGAGATTGGACAGGCTGTTTCCAACACTCATGGATCCAAATACCCAATCATAACAAGTCAATAACCGGGTCGGGTCGGATAAAACCTATTCAGGGCGACAGCCTAATCCTACCCGACAACTAACCTAGCATAATTAAATTAACTACTCTTCCTTAAGTCTTGAGCCTTGAGATCATGCTCTAATTATAATAAACAAAATAAAATAATTAGGAAAAATATATAATTAAAAATGGAAATTTTGACCAAGAATAGAAAAACAAAATTTAAAAATAATATAGGAAAAGCAAATGCTCCCTTTTTCCAGGCTCACATGCAACCATCTTATTTTTGGACTCTCTCTCTTAAAAATTCACCTCCCCTCTCTCTCTCTCTCTCTCTCTCTCTGACTCCACATTTCCTACTCAGTGTGTTCTTATCTGTTAAAAGGTAAAATGGAACATCTGCTCTTCTTCTTTCAAATCAAACCTTACCCCCAAATTAACTCTTTTCATTGTTTTTTCTCTCTCTTCCTCTTGCACTCTTCTAAACATGGGTAAAGGGTAATCTTTTTCTCTCTTTCTCTCTCTCTCTCTCCAAAATTGTGTCTCTAGAGCTATGAATACTTGCTGTCCCAGTTTCTTTCTGTGATTCTTCTTTTGTGTTATTCCTTTTTAATATAAACAGTTCTCTGGGTTTGATTGGATGGTGGGGTTTTGTCCAATGCTTTTCTTTGTGTATTCCTTTCTTTGATTTTGGGACTTTTCAATCTCTTTATTAGATTCCCAGCCCTCTTAATTTGTTATTAGATGAAAAAAGAAATAATTTTAAAAAAAAAAAACATTTTTGCATCGTCCACATGCATGTTCTTTATCTGGATTGGATCACAAGGATCTATTTGTTGTTATTCTATTTGCAGAGGAGGTGAGACACAGAGAGGTGGTGGGGTTTACTAACTGAGTCCCTTTTGCCAGCAATCTTGGTCTTCTTTTGAGGGGTCACAGAAGCAGAAAGAAGAAGAAAGAGGTGAGATTTCTTGATCCTTTTCGATCTTTTTTTTTGCTTTTGGGCCCCCTGTAAGATTCTCTTCTTTTGTTTGTGATAACTGTTTAGTTGTATCATTTGGGTGAAATTCGAATTGTGGTTGATTCAGTTCTGGGAAAGATTGTCTGGGATTTTTCAATTTGGTGATAAATTATGAATTGGGTCTGTTTTCTATGTCTAATTCAGTGGTGTGAATGAATGAATTTGGGATTTGAATTGGTGGCAGTGTTGATTCATCATATTCTATTGATTTGGAAGAAGGGTATCTTGTTTGGTCTGCTGTTGTTGTTGGTAGTTTTGTATGTTTGAATTGGTCTTTGATTGGGTAAACTAGTCTGGGTTGGCCCTGCAATACTCCTGAGGCATGGCTGTGAGTATCGATGTTTCGAAGTATGCCCATAGTTCTGTCCACAGTGCTATAGCCATGAAAGACTATGCTGGTCTCAGGAAGATACTGGCAGGCCTTCCACGGTTATGCAACCCATCTGAAATCCACACTGAATCCGCTTCAGTGGTGGAAGAAAAGAAAGCTGATGCCATCTCTGCGGTGATTGATCGTCGTGATGTCCCTAACCGTGAAACCCCTCTTCACTTGGCTGTCAAACTAAGTGATGAGATTTCAACGGAGATGCTTATGATTGCTGGTGCAGATTGGAGCTTGCAAAATGAACAAGGGTGGAGCGCACTCCAAGAAGCTATATGTAATAGGGAAGAAGGGATTGCCCGGATTATAGTTAGGCATTATCAGCCATTGGCTTGGGCGAAATGGTGTAGAAGATTACCTCGGTTGATTGGGACAATGGGGAGGATGAGAGATTTCTACATGGAACTTACATTCCACTTTGAGAGCTCCGTTATCCCTTTTATATCGAGAATTGCACCTTCTGATACTTATAAAATTTGGAAAAGGGGTGCGAATTTGAGGGCGGATATGACTTTGGCTGGTTTTGATGGTTTCAGAATACAACGCTCAGATCAGAGTATTGTTTTTCTTGGTGATGGGTCCGAGGATGGGAAGGTTCCTCCTGGCTCACTTTGCATGATCTCACACAAAGATAAGGAAGTGATGAATGCTTTGGATGGTGCCGGTGCTCCAGCAAGCGATGCAGAGGTGCAGCAAGAAGTTGCAGCAATGTCTCAAACCAATATAATCAGGCCTGGGATTGACGTGACTGAAGCGGTTCTTTTGCCACAGGTGACGTGGAGACGACAGGAGAAAACTGAAATGGTGGGTCTGTGGAAGGCTAAAGTATATGATATGCATAATGTGGTTGTGAGCATCAAATCCAGGAGGGTCCCAGGGGCTATGACAGATGATGAGTTCTTCTCATCCTGCAATGAAAATGAGACAGAAAGTGAAGAGCTTAATGAAATTCTAACGGAGGAGGAAAGAAGGCAACTTGAAGTTGCACTCAAGTTAGATTCTTCGGATTTAAGCAACGAGAATAGTGATGGGATTATCGCGCACCGCCATAGTTTTTATGAGCAACGAGATATTCCCATGGAGGAAATGGGTGGTAGTAGAAATGGAGAGACAAAGCAGGAAAAGAAAGGGTGGTTTGGCGGATGGAGAAAACGAGATAATACTAAGCCTGAAGGGCTGAAGAGGACTACCCCACCAAGAAGTTCACTCTGTGTAGAAGAGAAGTTTGGCGATCTCCTTGAGGATTCTCCATCACAAAGTCAGATTAAACCGGGAAGGCATTCCATGGAGATTGTTGTGAGTAGGGATGAGCACCGTAGAGGAAAGGATACCAAAACATCCTCATCCATAAATTCGGAGAGTGGAACTCGGCGCAAGGATGGAAGCCGTGAAAATGAATATAAAAAAGGCTTGAGGCCTGTCCTATGGCTGTCCCCAAATTTCCCATTGCGGACTGAAGAACTCCTGCCCTTGCTTGACATTCTAGCAAACAAAGTTAAGGCCATTCGTCGCTTACGAGAACTACTTACAACAAAACTTCCTTTGGGTACCTTTCCGGTTAAGGTATGTCTCAAAAGTAATTAATCAGGTTGAATTTTCATATTTGGTTATTTAGTTCAACACTTATGGATGGTGCCTACTTTCTGAATATTCTCTTTTTGTAATGCATATGCTTGCAAAGATGAACTGGTTTAGTATAACTAAATCTGCAGGCTGTTTTCCTTACTTTTCGTATCCATCAAGTTTTGTCTGTGTGGTAAGACGTTACCCTTCTAGGTGGTTTTGTGGGGAGTGTGGTGCCCTTTTGAGGGGTGATAGTGATACAATCCAGCTAAAATCCCTGAAAATAAAATGAGATTGTTTCATGTATGTTCTGAAAGGTAACTGCTGGCCTTTTGGCAAGCACCAATAACTGGTCTATGATGGCCTCTTGCTAGTAGTTGCATTCTACGGTTAGTAGTTTTTCCCTAGAAGTGAAAACCTTTGTGAGCAACGTTTTGAAAAGCTGTTGCGGTTGCCATAACGGTTGCGGTGACGCGGTAACAATTGCGGTGACGCGGTAGCAGTTGCGGGGTATAAAGGCCGTAGCGTAATGGCTGTGGTAACCAAAATCGTGATTTTTTTTTTATATTTTTCGCACAATTTGAAGAAAACTTACCGATACACGAATTTTTTTTTTTTTTCCAGAATTACATTTATCGGTGTTTAAAATAAATTTTGATCATTTTTTGTTAATTTTTAAGTATAATCCAATATATTTCATACTTTCAAAACATTATAAAAGGAACTTTTTATATTTTATTTCAATAATTAATGATTTTAAGAATACCTTATTTTAAATATTTACAAATTATTTTTTTACCAATACCTGAACTAACTAAATAAAAAATATTCACAATTAGTAAATAAAATAATTATAAAATAAAAATTATGCCATAAATTTTATAAAAAAAAATTATATAAGATTTTTTCTTTGGACTTGGATCACTTGAGTATTTGCTCTTTTTTTGCAAGTTTTTGTTTTTTTTGGAAAAAAAGCAAGTTATTCAGAATATTATAAAAGGGTGTAACGGTGTCTAACGGGCCGTTACGACTGTTACGGTACCGCTACGGCCGTTACGTAACACCGAAACGGCTCTTACACATGAATTTCCTTCACACCGCTATAGCGGCCATATAACGGGTGGCGGTGACTACCACAACCGTTACGTAACGGTTGCAGCCTCTTTTTAAAATCTTGTTTGTGAGAAATGCTACAAGTGACACACTATCTAATTGCCATCAAATTTTATATGGAGTCCATAAAATACAGTACATACATAAATTAGAGATGTTAACTTGGTTTGCAACCCCTCATGTTTCCTTTCCAGATTTAGGGCATGGTTCCCTTATCTTCTTCCTTTTGGCATTTATAATCAATTCTGCATCAAAAAAATTTATTTCTACTTATCATATTGATGTGTTAAATTCATGTAGGCAAACAAAGATGTATACATGCTCTTGTAACTATTTATGTGCTTGCGTGTGTACATTGGTATCTTTCGTTTAAGTTTGGGACCTTGGTTAAGCTTCCATTATGATGTGTTTAAAACCTTTCCACTCTTGAAACTCAGTCAACTCTGAAGTTTCCTTACAAGTTTTTTTAGTTCATAGGAATTTTAGAAAAAGGAAGTAAAATGGTTACTCAAAAGGGTCATTAGCTATTCACCATGCCTAATTGACCTAAGTACCTGAAGAAACAGCCATCTCAGTTTTCATGTACTGATTTGGAGGTGATAATTGTGTAGTAATTTGAAGTTTGTAATTTCAATGAACACTAGGGATATATTTGACCTGTGTAGCCTACAATGTTATTCAACAGCCGAAATTTTTTTAAGAACTCTTGAGATGTTATTTGGATTATGAATTTAGAATACTGATTAATTTAGCTGTGGACAGTGGAGGACGCAGGAATTTTAGTTAGAGGGGACCGTATTCAAATTTCACAATTAAATTTTAATTCTTTTATTAATAGCTAAATCATCATACATAAGTATATCAAAAGATACACTTCTATAGCTATACAAAATAAGAATTAAAGATAACACTTTTATGAATATTATTCATCTAAATAGGGGCGGCTCAACAAGAGGTTTAATGCGAAATCTCAATGAGCAACATTTTCTTACATTTAAATTATTATAAATTTTTAATGTAAAATGCATTTTCCTCTCCAACTTTTATAATTAATCTTGAGATTATTCAGTCTTTATTATTATTTGGAAAAAAATGTATCTTTTAATTGGAATGATTTTTTTTTAAAGCTTTATTATTGAGTCTTTCAAAAATGAGAATTTTGAAGTTTTACTATTGAAGGTCTTTTGAATAAGGAGGAATTTTATCATACTTTTATTAGTGGAGCAACTATTTTTGACTTTTCATATGTTGTTCCACACTAATAATTATTTATCACCCCCCTCATATAGTTAAATAAAATATGAGCATAAAAAATTACATACCTCACTATATAAATAAATACAATAAAATTACAACATAAAAATACCCTACAAGCACTCAAAAACTTTTCTTAAATATTAAATTTTAATTCTTTTATTCATAGCTAAATCATCATACATAAGCATATCAAGAGATACACTTCTATAGCTATACAAAATAAGAATAAAAGATAACACTTTTATGACTGTACAAAATAAGAATATTATTCATCTGAATAGGGGCGGCTCAACAAGAGGTTTAATGCGAAATCTCAACGAGCAACCTTTTCTTACATTTAAATTATTATAAATTTTTAATGTAAAATGCATTTTCCTCTCCAACTTTTATAATTAATCTTGAGATTATTCCGTCTTTATTATTATTTGGAAAAAAATGAATCTTTTAATTGGATTTTTGGATAATGTTTTTTTTTTTTTAAAGCTTTATTATTGAGGGTCTTTCAAAAATGAGAATTTTTAAGTTTTACTATTGAAGGTCTTTTGAATAAGCAGGAATTTTATCATAGTTTTATTATTGGAGCAGCTATTTTTGACTTTTCATATGTTGTTCCACACTAATAATTATTTATCACCCCTCATATAGTTAGATAAAAATGAGCATAAAAAATTACATACCTCACTATATAAATAAATACAATAAAATTACAACATAAAAATACCTTGCAAGCACTCAAAAACTTTTCTTCAGATTTAATTTTTAATTATAATGAAAATTTATTAACATAAAATAATAATTTTTTTATTATTTACGAATATTTGAAAATATAAGGACTTGTGGGGGCCACCTCTAACTTGGATGATGGAATCCTTGGAGGGGCCATCCCTTCTCACTTCACCAAGTTAGCAGTAATATAACATAAATTAATGGAGTTTGTGGAAGTTTTGCAGGGGCCACAGCCCCCCCTTCCATCCGCCAATGGCTGTGGAAGTCAGGAACATGCATATGTATTAAAACACCGTTACTCTCTGACTCTCTCAAGTCATTTACCATTCCATTCCAACTTTTAAGTCAGTTTCTATGCTCAAAACCAGTAATTGGTCGAAGTACATTGGAATAACAATATTTCAACAGATCGATACCTCTTTGTAGTTTGTACTTGGTGGAGGTTGGGATGGGGATGTCGGTGGTGGTGGTAGTGGTGGTTGTGGTTGTGATGGTGGGTGGTAGGGTAGTAATGGTGGTAGAGTTGTGATGTAGGTAAGGTGGCAGTGGTGGTAATGGTGCCAGTGGCATTGGTGTTGGTGGTGGTAGTAGGATGACATCGCTGGTCATGTTGGTGGTACAGGGTGGTGTTGGTAGTAGGATGGTGGTGGTGGTGAATTAAATAAATTTTTGCTACTATCATTAGTTTACATCTTACTCTCCATCTGACATTTTCATTTGGGGTGATCATATCAGTCTTACTTCCAACAGCATCTACAAGTCTTAGTTGTACACGATCAAATCATCTTTGTCAGTTCTTTCTCAATTTATCTCAGTTGGTGTCATTCCTACCATTTCATGAACAGATTCTTAATACTACCAACAAAACAAAAAAAAAGAAAAAAAAAAACAAGTCATGTTTGGAAACAGTTGATCCAACATAAGAAAACCAATCACATTTCTCCTACAGAGATTTTTCTATTTGATTTCTACGGAATTTCTTTTTCTTTTTCTTTTTTCTAAACATTTACAAATGTGTCAGCGGTGTTTAATTATTGTGCTTTTCAGAGTTTTATGAACCAATTCCTTGTTTGATAGATTGGTGAGTTCTGGAAGCAGCTGATGATATAGGCCCAGGTCTCAATATATTCGTTGCTTGTCCACCTCAATATGTTCGTTGCTTGTTCACCTCAATATTGTAATTGTGAACAATTGGCTATGCAATTAGTTTTGCACCAAGCTGACCTGACCTTTTCAAGTTGGTTTTGTGCTTTTAAAGAGAATTCAGAGAAGCATGATACAAGCTCCTCCTCAATACATCAACCCCAACCTCTAGTACAAGTATTTTATAAAACTTGTTGGTGCAGAACTTCTGAAGTTATTACTCCTAGTGCGGTGCATCATTTCCCTTTACAATTCTATCATCGTCATATTAATTAAGCTCTATTGTACTAGAACACATTCAAATGTTGTTGGTGTTTGAAACAGAAGTCATGAGAATTGCAGTAATCTTGAACCGGCTCCTGGTCAAATGGATAAGCGGTTTAACCATGGGGTTGGTGGTTTACCCGGACCGGAACCTAGACCAGTTGATGGGTCAACTGGTCAAACTGGCTGGTCTGGTCCGGTCATCAACTGGTCAAACTGGCTGGTCTGGTCCGGTCATCAACTGGTCAAACTGGCTGGTCTGGTCCGGTTTTTAAAACATTGGAGAATTGTTTTCTTTATGCCCATATATTGCCACTACTAGCTGAATTTCTAAAACAAAGCAAGGTGCTTATTCTGAACCATTAATTGCCATGTAGTTAACTTGCTTCAGTAACATACACCCCTCAGTTGCTTCATTTTATTTTATTTTTTTCATAAGCAAAGATATGCCCAATAGATTGTTACAGGGAGTCATTATATAAGGTTGAGGACACTATCCCTATTTATGTTTTTTTTTTCCCCTTTACTAAGAAGTCCAACATGGTTTTCCAGGTTGCTATCCCAGTGGTTCCCACTATCAGAGTGTTGGTTACATTTACAAAGTTCGAAGAGTTACAGCCGTTGGATGAGTTCTCAACCCCTCCTTCAAGTCCAACCGCCTCAGGCCGAGAGAGCCCCGCTATAATGCCGTCCTCAAGTTCATCATGGTTTCAGTGGATAAAAACTCCATACCAAAGGCCAAATTCTTCTTCCACTGGTGGATCCAACAGCAGTCGGATAGAAAATATTCATGACCCGTTTGCAATTCCTCAAGATTACACTTGGGTTACTGCCGAAGCAAAGAAAAAGAAGACGCAGGAGAAAAGCAAATCAAAGAAAGGAAGAAGTCAGAATCAGTAGCATTTGGGATGAAATTGAGATTCATCGGATTGGTTCGGTGTACCAAGTAAGGGTTCTTGTTCATTAAGTCCGCTAATTTGCAATTTTGTTGAGAACAAAAATTAGGGGGACACAGTGATCCTTTTGTAGGGTGAAAATTTGGTAAATCCATGGGGTTGGGGGGTTATGAAAAGTTGGAAGTTATGATTCTTGCAAATGCTTGTAACCAATATGGAACAATTGTTTGGCTTTTGGTTGATATGCTTACACCATTTATATCATTTGATTAACTACTATCCATTTAATTTCTGACTTCTTCTCTGTTCATCACTAAGGACATGCTGTTTGTTTGTGTGTTTGTTTTTGTTTTTGTTTTTTTTTTTTTTTTTTTTTTTTTTTTTTTTTTTTTTTTTTTTTTTTTTTTTTTTTTTTTTTTTTTTATGGTACTTGGAAAATGAGTTATATGTACACAATAAAGTGGGAAAGAGAGACTACCATGCCTAAGTGAAATTGCAAGAGCTCTAACCAAGTCAGTCGAAATCAGTACTGTTACGTAATGACAGGATTGTTTTGGATTATAAATTTATCAGGATTGTTTTGGGTTGTAAATTTATAAAGGAATTGAATGTTTGGATTATAAATTTATGACGGAATTTATATTTTTATGGAGGAATTGCTTGCAGGTAGGCGTTGGAGAAAACAATTACAAATGCATAGGAGGTGCAAGTGTGTCTATAGTGGATTGCAAATGAAACGCTGTGGGGTGCAAGTGTTACTTACATTCTTCTGTGTTGATAAATTTTTTTCTGTCAACTCTTACTTGCATGTAATTTCTACTATTTTTATCCTCTTATTTATTTTTTTTCTTTTTTCACTATTAATTTCCTCAAAAAAGTTTTCTTTAATTTAGTCAGAATGAAATGACAAGTTATATGTTGACCTTTGATTTATTACAAACATGTAAATTCAAATTTCATTGTCAAGTTTTAAATTATAAGTTTTAGCATTACTCTATAACACACAATTTTAACATCTAAATTGCAGATGTTCTTAATTTTCCGATTCCCAACCATCTGACATATTGCGATCTTGGTTCTAACCCGACACTTGTGGTAGTCCAAACTTGGGTTTATGGTTTCTGAATGTTGGTCATTGTCGTTTTTCCCTTAATCTCCCTTAAATTTGATTATTGAATTGTAGTTGTGCGTTTGGAACAAGTTGGTAATTTGTTTTTCCAAACTTTTGTTGTCCAGATTTTTGCTTTTCCGCTCAAACGCCCATTCTTGCGCTCGAGCGGGCTTTGCAATTTTTGCTCCTCCGCTCGAGCAGCACTTCTTGCGCTCAAGCGGGATTTGCGAACTATCAGTACTTTGCATATTTGCAAAAGTACTGGAAGAGTGTTTTTTACGCTCCAGCGGCATTTCTTATGCTCGAGTGGGTGGGCGCTCGAGTGGCTTTTCTTGAGCTCGAGCGGTTTGTCGGTTGTCTGCAAAAGTACTGGATGTGTGTATTTTGCGCTCGAACGGGTCACTTCTTGCGCTCAAGCGGAACAACTTATTGTATCTGACGCTCGAGTGTCAACTCTTGCGCTCGAGCGGAGAGTGTATATATCAAATTGCGGAAATGACTTCTTAAATCACTTTTTTAGATTTTTTCTTCCAAAAATCCTAAAGTGAGACACTCTCTCTCTCTAATATACTCTCTCTCTCTCTACATTTTCTTCTTGATCTGTTGATCTCTCCGCTCTAGTGTCTTTGAGAAATGGGTAGAGCATCTTGAGAGCTCCGCTTTGATCCGATTAGAGTTTGGTATAGGCATCGTTGGAGTTTCGTCCTTGCTCTGTTTGGTCTTCTAAACTTGAGGTAGAGACTCTCTACACATTAATATGAGTTTTAACTTGGTTATAAGTTGTTGTGTTAAAATGGTGAGATTTGGAGGTGTTTTGAACAAACCTAGGGTTTGGGTTCAAGTTTGAAAAGAGAGGTTTCTATGTAGGCGTTATATAAATGATTATGGGGTTTTGACATAAGGTCATCTTGTGTTAAAATAGTTGATTTTGGCCTTTGGGTTAATGTTTGGAAAATGGAGATTGAATAATTATTTTGTATAAATAATGATATTAGTATGGAAAATATGAAATTGGGAAGATGTATACATGAATAGTGTTATTAGATTTGTTTAATCACTCATCTATGGAAATTTGATGATTTATCTATTATGGGGATTGTATGTCTGTTTAGAAATATCTGCTTTGGGCTATCGGTGGGGGATAGTCATGATTGTTGTAGACATTGCATGTGGATTAGACAAATTGAAACTAATCTCTTAACCATTATCATTGAATATGATTATGAATAATATACATTGTATATGCATGATATTTGGGAGAAGAAATGTGATGTACTCCATGTTTTGAAGAGAAGAAAGGGAATAGACTCCATTGAACTAAGTTGACCTGTGTGTCCAAGGTGAAAATCCCGAAAACCATTTGTATACATGGATGCCGATTCCCGCGGATGAAATTTTCGTAAAATGGCAAATAGAAGTGAACGTATTTGTATGATGATTTTATCTGATGGGAATTTGTGAGGTGTAATCTCTGTTGACGGGTTAGATGCAGTGGATGTATTTATTGAACCAAAATGAATGAATTAAGATGCAAGTTAGGCATAACATAGTTATGGAAAAAGTTACACAGATTTTGTCATAAGACAATGAACATGTGCATTATACTTATATCTTATTAATTTTCATATATTGTATTAGTATGTTTCTACTGAGTTTTGACTCACCCTACTTGGGAACCATTTTCAGGTGTTGGAAACATGCCTCCGCCAACACAGTAGTTTGGGGGGGACTTGGAGCAAAAGCTTCCTTTTGTTTTATTTATTTTGTATAGCCAAGGGCTAAGTTATATGAGGAGTGATGGAGACCCCCTCCAATCACCATCCCCACCACCTCACACACACTTGGCAGGTGGTGATTGGAGGAGAAGAGAAACAAACAAAAAAAAAAAGAAAATCCAACCAATGAGAGAGAGAGGGGGTCAAAGGGGTGGGGAAAAAATAGGGTCTTAGACATTTTTCAAGTTATATTGAGTTAGACTCTTTATTTTGCTCTAACTAAGCAATGTCTTGGAAATGTATAAGCCCGTAAGACATTTATTTTGTTGATTATTAACTGGTAGTACATGTTATAGATTCAGAATGAACATTAATGAATGTATACTGCATGTGTTATCTTTTGTAATACGAACTCTGATGAATGAAAGCATATTATTTCTATTAACATTCTGTTTTAAGGATTGGATTTATTGTAATAATTTGGGGGCGTTACATAACAACTTCAATTTTTAGCTATTATGTTAGCAGCACTGATTTAGTGCTTTAAATTGATAGCACTAATCCCATCTCTAATGAACTAGCAGTGCCAAAATGAAATTGGGAAGATGTATACATGAATAGTGTTATTAGATTTGTTTAATCACTCATCTATGGAAATTTGATGATTTATCTGTTATGGGGATTGTATGTCTGTTTAGAAATATCTGCTTTGGGCTATCGGTGGGGGATAGTCATGATTGTTGTAGACATTGCATGTGGATTAGACAAATTGAAACTAATCTCTTAACCATTATCATTGAATATGATTATGAATAATATACATTGTATATGCATGATATTTGGGAGAAGAAATGTGATGTACTCCATGTTTTGAGAAGAAGAAAGGGAATAGACTCCATTGAACTAAGTTGACCTGTGTGGTCAGGGTGAAAATCCCGAAAACCATTTGTATACATGAATGCCGATTCCCGCGGACGAAATTTTCGTAAAATGGCAAATAGAAGTGAACGTATTTGTATGATGATTTTATCTGATGGGAATTTGTGAGGTGTAATCTCTGTTGACGGGTTAGATGCAGTGGATGTATTTATTGAACCAAAATGAATGAATTAAGATGCAAGTTTGGCATAACATAGTTATGGAAAAAGTTACACAGATTTTGTCATAAGACAATGAACATGTGCATTATACTTATATCTTATTAATTTTCATATATTGTATTAGTATGTTTCTACTGAGTTTTGACTCACCCTACTTGGGAACCATTTTCAGGTGTTGGAAACATGCCTCCGCCAACACAGTAGTTTGGGGGGGACTTGGAGCAAAAGCTTCATTTTGTTTTATTTATTTTGTATAGCCAAGGGCTAAGTTATATGAGGAGTGATGGAGACCCCCTCCAATCACCACCCCCACCACCTCACACACACTTGGCAGGTGGTGATTGGAGGACAAGAGAAACAAAAAAAAAAAAAAAAAATCCAACCAATGAGAGAGAGAGGGGGTCAAAGGGGGTGGGAAAAAAAATAGGATCTTAGACATTTTTCAAGTTATATTGAGTTAGACTCTTTATTTTGCTCTAACTAAGCAATGTCTTGGAAATGTATAAGCCCGTAGGACATTTATTTTGTTGATTATTAACTGGTAGTACATGTTATAGATTCAGAATGAACATTAATGAATGTATACTGCATGTGTTATCTTTTGTAATACGAACTCTGATGAATGAAAGCATATTATTTCTATTAACATTCTGTTTTAAGGATTGGATTTATTGTAATAATTTGGGGGCGTTACATAACAACTTCAATTTTTAGCTATTATGTTAGCAGCACTGATTTAGTGCTTTAAATTGATAGCACTAATCCCATCTCTAATGAACTGGCAGTGCCAAAAAAAAAAAAAAACGAAACTATCACATAAGTGGCGAGGTCCACATGATGCCACATCATTAATGATTAATTAGTGGTCTTCAATTAGTTGTCTGAAGCATTTTTTTTTTTTATGTTAGACGGGGTAATAGGATTGAATCATATTTATTTAAAAAAATCATTAATATTGTTATTTATTTATTTGTAAATACGATCTAATTATATAACTTGATTATATGGATATTTTGCTCAATGAATCACTGAAATAACTCCTAAACCCAAGATCACAAATCACCCATCTAATTGAATGGTTTGGAAAGTGAAAAAATGGTGAAAGTTAAAAAGTCATATCAAAAAAATCAATTATTCTCTTTATTTTTTTTATATATATTTTTTTATAACAAATGAGCCTAAATCCATACCGTTTGGTGACTATAATTTTATTTTGTTAGAAAGATTAGTTAACATTAAAAAATAAGAACTCACGTGATATATGTAGAAATCAAAGACGAACCTCATTTATTGTTATTCTGCAAAACAAAGTGATCATTGAAACTGATACAGTTCAGGTAGTACAACTGATCAACAATGATTCATCCCACTAAAAATACCATCACTAATAGCACTAATACATTAAAAAAATAAAAAAAAAAAAAAAAATACAACTCTAAGACCAAAACATCACATCATTAATGACGGGACCCACTGCCACCTAATTAGTGGGAGCACTAATTAGTGCTCCTAAGCATTTTTCTGCAACTGATAAAAGAAGAACCAACTGAAAACACCACTTTCAAAACTTTGGTGGAAGATGCAAATATCCAACTTAGGGGTTGTGAGTGCAGTGTGCAACATATCTTGAAGGAGGAAACCTATGTGCTCATGCATTAGCTAAGTTTGAATCAGATTAAACAGAAGAAATGCTAGTGGTGAATGAACCAGCTGAAATTAGAAGTATTCTAATAGCAGATATGCTAGGTCTATCTAGACAAAGGTTAATTTCCATTATTGTTGTTTTCCTTTCTGATGTACTTAAAAAAAATAAACAAATAAAAATTGTTAGTATATATGAAAAAGATTCGTTCCAATTTTTGAGAAATTGAGAAATTAAAAAAAAAAAGAAGAGAAAAGAATAGATTTAGTATATTTGATTTCAGTTTTTAGAATTTAATTTTTTGAAATTTGAGTTTTTGTTTTTCATATTTTTTGGTTTTAGTGAATATTTTTAAAATTTTAAGCAATTTTTTTACTTTTTTAAATACACCTTACTTAGATATATCTAAATAATAAAATATTTGTGAAAAAATATTTTTCAAAATTAATAAATATACAAAAATACAAAAAATATACTATATTTTTATATTTTCAGGCGGAAAAGTTAGGCCTACTTTATAAGTCTACTGATATGTCAAGAAGATGATTGGTTGATAATTAAATATTATCTGATTATCAACCAATCAGAGTGAGTGTGTGTTTCAAAATTTGAAATATGAGAAAATGAGAGAGCGAGAAAGGACAATGGGTGGGTGGTGCAGAGTTTTAGATTTATTTTTTTATTTTATTTTATGTGTTGGGATCCTAGGCTCATGTGTTTTACTGTCCGTCACCTAACTGTAATTATAAAATTCATTTGAATATAATTTGATCTCAATTTTTTTCTTTTTTTTTCAACAAATTAGATAATTTATACAAAAAATATACTAAATTTTTATATATTTTTATATTTTTTCAGTATTTTTGTAATAGCTCTATTTTGCGGTTGCAAACAATCACTTTACTTGGTTCCCATTTTTTAAAAACAGTTTTCAGAAAATTCTACACTCTTATTTTCCGTGTTTTTTTGTTTTTACTGAATTTTTTAAATATTTTATGCAACTTTTTAACTTTTTAGACACACCTAACATAAATACACCTAAAAAGTAAAAAAATTGTAAAAAAAATCTTTTAAAAATTCACTAAATACTAAAAATACAAAAAAATACAAGAATTTAATACATTTTTTATATTTTTATGTATTTCTTAATTTTTTAAAATATCTTTTCACAATTTTTATTACTTTTTAGACACATCTAAGTAAGGTGCATCTAAAAAGTAAAAAAAATATTTAAAATTTTAAAAATATTTACTAAAAACAAAAAAACACAAAAATCAAAAAATTCAGTTTTAAAAAAACTTAATCCAGAAAATTCAAACCAAACACAGTGATTATACTTTTAAATGTATTTATATTAGGTATGTTTAAAAATTAAAAAAATTAATTAAAATATTTAAAAAATTTAGAAAAAATAAAAATTTCTGAAAAAACCAAACAGTGCTCTTTTGGCGACGCGACACACGCATCGCATCGCCTTCTTCCTCTTCCTCCGTCTCTCTCTCTCTCTCTCTCTCACACACACACACACACACTGACGTACACATACAAACCCTAACCCTATCGTTCTCCTCTGCGATCCCAACTCTGCTCCGCTCTAAAATTCTCAGGACTCTCTCGCTCTGAGCTCGTTGACTCCCTGAAATGAACAGGTTCGCATTTTTCACTGAAAACATGTTTCATCTATATATGTATACTACATGTAGATGTTGTAGTCTATAGCTTCACAGAGGTGTTGAATAAAAATCTATATTAATTCTAAAAATTAAGATAAATGTATTCAGAATCATAAATATCACTGAAAAAGTGATTGGCAAACGCTAAATTGAGGCTTCTTTGTTTTTATTATGTTTCATTGTTGTCTAATGCTTTGTGTGCTCGAAACAGAATTGTTGTGAGAAGAATTGCTTCGAATAAATATGGATTGAAAGTTGCGAGGAAGACTTTTTGTAATAATGCAGCTGCAGAAGTATCTGATTCGCAAAGCAGCAATGTAATTTTTTCTTTTTAAAACCCTGTATGTTATTCTCTTGATGTTCTTTTATGTCTCATGTAGAAGGCTCTTGATTTTCCCCTACATCCCCTTCAATTCATGTTAAAACTTATTTTTTTTTTTTTTTTTTTGGGGTGTGTGTGTGTGTGGAAGTTATATCATGTTCATTTTTTCAATTTCTTCTGCCATGTGTTTTTCAAAAGCTTCAACTTTAATCATCTAGAATTTTTGTAATTTTTATTGCTTCTAGTGAATGAATTTTTGTAATGCAGCTGCAAAATTATCTGGTTCCACAACATAGCCATGTAATTTTTTAAGGGGAAATAACAAATAAGTGGTACTTTTGAAAAATAATTACAGATTCATGATAAACTTTACAAATTTTAGTGATTAAATTCATATACCTTTCCATGAATCTGTAATTTTTTTGGGAAACTACCACTGTCTTGTAATTTCCCCATTTTTTAAAACCTATATGGTTCATTATTATGCTCTCAGTGTTCTATGTAATTATGTCACTTTTTGCTTCTACATTTGTTTCAAATCCTCAACTTTAATTGCCATGACACGACTCACTTCTTGGTTATAAGATTGATGGATAAACCTACCTGCTTTCCCATGAGGGCACAATTTTATTTCAGTAAATCATGGAATTAGGTAATGAAAGAATGCTAAAGTTTTGAGGTTGATGGACATAATAATATAAATGTATTTGCAGTTGTTATTATTTTCATGTAGATATATACATATATATATAATTAGTTATTTGAAATTATGTTCTTGCTCATCGACATGTGCATATTTTGTTGTACATGTGCATATTGTGTTGTACATGTCCCCACCTGTTGGCGTGTCCATATCGTGTCATATCCATGTCCAATGTCCATATTTGCACTTCCTATGTCTGTATCTATTTGTTTGTCTATCTATTTATCAATCTCTCTCTTGTGCTTTGTGGGATCTACTTCTTAAATTTATTTGTTTTGCTTTATTGACTTCATTGTCTCTTTTTGCTAACAAAATTAATCGATTCCTCTCATCTTAGACTATTTGTCAATTAATGTTCTTATTTATTTTTTCAAACGCAGGAATTGTATTTTACTAGTTATTAAATAGTAATTAGATTAGTTGGGTGCTTTTATTTGCAGTTAGTCATTGCCTTTACCTTGGAATAGTACTCATTATTGCTTGAGATCATCATCATCTATTCATGTAAGAATGTTCTTCAAATGTTATAGGAGTTAGGTGACAAAGGTGGTTTGACAAATAATGTTCCCCAGTATGACATAGCTATAATTGGAGGTGGCATGGTTGGCATGGCTCTAGCTTGTTCCCTAGGTAATTAAAAATAATTTGCATTTATTTTGTGCGCAGTTTACTCTGAGTTGATGACTTTGTATTATGTTTAGTAAATTATAGTTAGTTTTCTCCATAATGTTGGATTTTTGTAGTTTTATGGCTTGTTTGCATAAATCAGTTGACGTCCTTGCTATAATTCATGCTTATTTACATTTGTTGTTGTTGTTGTTGTTGTTATTTTGATAATAAAGCATGCTCACCACTGGTGTGTGTCTCAATTGCAAAACACTTGTAATATTTTTATTAAATTGTAGTGACTTTTTGTCCATAATGTTGGATTTTTGTAGCTTTATGGGTAGTTTGCATAAATTTGATGTCCCAGCTACAATTCATGTTTATTTACAGTATATTTTGATAATAAAACATGATCTCCCACTGGTTTGTGTCCCAATAAGCAAACACTTATATTAAAATGGATTACATTTCTCAAGATAAACATTATTGTGCTACTTCTATCCAGCTTTTTCGTTGGTTAATTAACCAAAAATAAAAAGCAACTTGAATAAAGGAAGAGAAATAGCAGAGCTGGGCCTCATTCTTTTTTATTCTTCTTTTCAATCTTTATTTTTATTTTTATTTATTTTTAATTTTTTTGAGCTTTAAGCTTTTATGTTTTATCCTTTGATCAGAAAAATTCTTACCAAAGATAAGTTTTTAGGATTTATCTTTTCGAGCAAGTTTTATGTCGAAGACTGGATTCCTAGATTTATTTAGGATTGCTATGGACAAGAGGCCCTTCTAGCCGGTTATTTGAGGACATTGGAGGCTAAGGTGGTTTGTGAACCCCACTTTGTACCCAGAATGATGTTTTTTGGCTTGCTGCTTTGTTTGATGTATGGACACAAGACACCTAGTGGAAGGCCTTGAAGACTGGTGAATCGACGCGTATACTTTCTACATGGTTTTGATTCTAACTTTCCTGTGAAGACCCTTTCGCACTCTCAAGTTCCTTCTGATTAGCCTTTTTTGGTTAGTGGGTAATTGATAATTTGGCCTAGTGGGATAATTTTCTAGCAAACTTGAGCTACGTGACAGGGAAAACACAGAATTAATGAATTATCTTTTGATATTCACTTTCAGTTGCCAGACATTTATGGGGTCTCCTCCTGGTCCTTGCTATGGTTCAGTACGTCATGCCTAGACCAGCGTGTTGGTATTTAACAGTGGCAGAGGACCCGATTTATGAGGATAGTTATGGAAGCATGGCAAGCAGGCTTATTATACTTGTGGTGGTGTATTCAAAAAGAGGAGAACAGGTCCTCCTTTGAGGGAGGGAGTGGTCCATTATGAAATTAAAGCATGCAATGTCAAATCTCTCATATTTTTGGATTAGAGGGTGATATTAAGCTTTAGTAGAGTCTTTTGTTGATTTCTTGAGATATTTAAACTTTTTTGTGTAATGTTGGTATAGACTGTGTATGCATATTGTGTACATGGGTTGCACACCTTTGGTACATTCTAATGGAGTATTTTTATCTATGAAAAAGAGGGATAAGATAGGGGTCCTTACCTTGCCTTTAATTCCAGTCATGGACTGTTGAATGGCTTGTGATTGAGCAGTATGAGGGCATTTTCAAACATTTAATGCTGTTCTAAATTTTTAATTCTAGAAAATTAGCCTTTTCATATAGCATATGCCAATTAATTGCATTAAACATATGCATAAGCTCCCTAATTTCATATGCCTGCAGCAAGCATGCCATTGACAAAACAGTTGACCGTTGCCATCATTGATAGCAATCCTGCTTTGTTGAGCAATATGAGGGCATTTTCAAACATTTAATGCTGTTCTAAATTTTTAATTCTAGAAAATTAGCCTTTTCATATAGCATATGCCAATTAATTGCATTAAACATATGCATAAGCTCCCTAATTTTCATATGCCTGCAGCAAGCATGCCACTGACAAAACAGTTGACGGTTGCCATCATTGATAGCAATCCTGCTTTGGGGAGGAAAGACTGCTTCAAGAAAGATGATCCCCCAGATCCAAGGGTCAGTACAGTCACCCCTGCAACTATTTCTTTTTTCAAAGGTATCCGTTGTTATCTTGTTATTCTTCATTATGTTTTTCTACCTTCCAAATCATATGTTCTTAGTGCTTTACTTTGCATGCATTTTTAGTGAGCCTGATCACGATTCACCATGCTAATGCAGTAAATATGTTTAACAGAATACTTTTGAAAGATAGAACTGTTCATTTGAATTTTAATGACCATAATGGAACTTAGATTTTGATTGGGTTGGTTAAGATAAACATGGAAACTATGACGTAATTGGTTTTGTGTTACTGCTGATACTTGTTTCCGGTGTTTTTTGTGAAACTTGTTTCTTACGTTGTGGAATGACATTGACAAAAGTAAAGGTAGACAATTCCGATATTGTAAGCTGGATGCTTGGTGTTTACCTGCATGCATAAAAGAAGACTAATTATCATATGAAGTTTTACTAGATAATTAGGTGTTAGAGAAGAATAGAGAAATATTGTTTAATTTCCAATTTCTATTCAGTTCTAGTCATGTGTCATTTCAGTAATCCTAATGCAGGCAACAAATTAGCTCAAAATTGAAGTTGAAGACCATTTGATTGCATTTTCTACTATTGTTCACAAATCAATTTCATCATATGACTCAAATGATGATGTTATCCTCTTAAGAGTTCCAGTAAAATTTTCCTAACTTGTCTTTAGATATCATGCATATATATTTTAGTTTTTGCTTTCGTTAGGTGCAATATTTCTTGTATTTGTAAGTAATGGTTCTTTGTCCATCAAATATGGGTAGAAGTGTGACACTGCAAAAATCCCAATAAAACTTACAAATACATTTTTCCTTAACGACGGGTTCAACTTTACAGATGCTGGTGCTTGGCAATATGTTCAACAACATCGACATGCTTATTTTGACAGGATGCAGGTAATGACTTTCATTTTTATCAATTCATTAATACATTTTCATAATTATCTTCGACAATCAACAAAACCGAACCAAACTAAAGTAAGTCTTGTGTCCCAATCAAGTGGGGTTGGCTATATGAATTATTTTATGCGATTCCACTTTGTTAAGGACTTATCTTCAACTATTGTTGAACTAATTTTTTTCAAACGCATCTTTTCTCTGAATATGCTTTTAAGAAAGTTTTATGTCCTTTGGCGTGCTTCTAAATACTCCCAAACACCCACTTTCTCTCTACACCCACCAAAGAGATTTTAAAACTACATTTTCCCCATCCTCAATACCATCACACCCAAAAATTTCTTTCCATGACCATACATTCTCTACACCGGTAGTTGGCAGAGAGTTATTTGGCAGTTGTTTGGTATAATTTTTTGTAGATCTGTGTGTTTTAGAAAAGTTCCATCAAAGCTCGGATTGGCCATGGTTCGCTTGACGAACTTGTCTTTAATATTGTTTTGTTTTCTCCATTTCCACTGACTAACATGGTACAGTTTGCCTGTCTTTACATAAAACTTATGATTCATCAAGGGCTAATATGGTTAGTTTTTCATCTATCATTGAATGGTTCTTTGTAGGTTTGGGATTATACTGGCCTAGGATACACAAGATACAATGCAAGAGATGTAGATAAAGAAGTCCTAGGGTATGAACACTCATAGTTGCTGGACAATTTCATTTTTAGAATCATGCAAATATTAATGGCAGATGCTGCTGCTTTGGGTTTCTGTTTTAGGTGTGTGGTAGAGAATAAGGTGCTTCTTAGATCTCTGTTGTCATGCTTACAGGTACTTTTCCATAGTGAGCTTTATAGATCTATATTTCTTGAAAATTTGTTGATGAAATGTTTTGTCTCATGCTTTATCCCTATGTTTTCATCACTCATATTGTTTTTCTTAGCTTTTGCATTTACATCCCTACTATACCATTTTTTTCTTTTCCTGTTACTCAGATGATCTATTCTGCATTTCTTTTTTTAATAATGAAATTTTCTTTCTTACTAAAATATTGAAGGGAATTTTTTTTTTCCCCTTCCTAAAAGCATGTGTAATATTCTGTTTTTTAAACTAAAAAAATCAAGATTCAAATTTATGCATGTCCTGATAGTATTTGCATTTCTTGTTCCTTTCATGTGTGTTTAAGTCATCTATTTGGTCAGGGAGACAAGCAATGAGAATTGCACATGCTGAGATTCTATTACAGTTATTTGTTATGAAAACGCCAAAGCATGTATAAGCGTGTGAGGTAGAGAGCCATAGTTTAGGCCTGCCTCAAGAGCATGCAGGTCTTTCTTCGTTGACATTTTTGGCTCCATAATCATATCACTCACAAAGCCATTTAAAAAATTTCTTGCAATTCTCTTATTGCCTTTGAGGAATCTCAAACCTTCTTTTTTTTCCTTCTTTCCTTCTATTTTTATTTTTTCTTTAGGTAAGTTTCAGAGTTTTTGTGCCATGGCTTTAAAGCATCCTAGTGTCCTACCACTTTAATGCATCCTGACAATAGTTCTTTCAGAAATTATTTTTATGGAGGATCTATGAGAAGATTTTATGGCAGTAGTTGTATTCTCATCACGGGAGTCTTATGAGCTGTCTTGTTTATGAAAATTGCTGTATTTTTTCACTCTGAGGAATCCATATGCTTTTATAAAATTTATACAACTAATAATTTGAATATTATCAGAACACAGACTTCCAGAAGACAATCTATCCTTCCATGTTAACTTCTATGACTTTATCTCCAAGCTTGTCATCCATGGGGGTGGATGGCACATCTTCAGGAACGACAATGCCCACTTGCGGAGGTTTAGCAAAGCTGGAACTGAATGATGGCAATAGCCTGTATGCCAAGTTGGTGGTAATTTCATCTTCTGTGTAGATAAAGTTGCATATTAAGAAGGAAAATGATTGCAGAAGTTGTATTGCCCCTTATGGGTCAGATCTGAAAAAGATTGATTTGTGCTAAATTTCAATGGTGCTTACTACAGGTTGGAGCTGATGGGTCCAAGTCACGTGTCAGGGAGTTAGCAGGATTCAAAACAACTGGATGGAAATATTCACAGAATGGCGTCATCTGTACAGTGGAACATGCAGTGGAAAACCAGTGTGCATGGCAACGATTTCTACCTTCCGGTCCAATTGCACTTTTGCCAATAGGTGATAAGTTCAGCAATATTGTTTGGACTATGGACCCCAAAGAGTCATCAGACTGCAAATCAATGAGCGAGGATGATTTCGTCAATGCTGTAAATCATGCTTTGGATCATGGATATGGCCCTCATCCCCAGTCGCAATTATTTGGCGGCGGAAACATATTGTCTTGGTTTAGACCAGACGTGACATCATCTAGTAGTGAGTGTTTTGAAGTTCCACCAAAAGTGGTCAAACTGGCTTCAGAAAGAATGGCATTTCCATTATCTCTAAGGCATGCTAATCAATATGCATCAAGACGCGTAGTTCTTATTGGTGATGCTGCACACACTGTTCATCCTTTGGCTGGTCAAGGGGTTAATTTGGGTTTTGGGGATGCGTCTGCTCTTTCAAGAGTCATAGCTGAGAGCGTTGCTGTAGGGTCTGACATTGGGGAGGTATGTTCTCTTTAGTTTTTCTTATTTCCAATAGAGTTATTATTTATACCTGCACACACAACCTGAAAGACTGAGGATAATTATGGTAGTTCTGTTTACATGGAAAAGCTAGCGATTGAAAAATAATTAATAACCAATGCATCCTACACATGGATTATTTGCAACCAAATATATATATTGGATAGTTAATTTGCGTGCAGAAACATTCAAAACGCAAATTTTTGGGGTAGTGCTCTCTGTCTGCCGATTTGCAGATTAGAGAAGGAATGTGTTCTCTTTCGTGGCAAATTAATTATACCATAGAAAAAGTGATTGATTTGGCAGGATGTACTGTGAGATGTGTTAACCAGGTTCTTATGTTTCCTTCAACTGTTAGGATCCAATAAACATGTATTTCCATCCCCATAAAATCTGTGCACGAGTCTGAAATAGTTTTAAAATTTAATTTTTGATTATTTACTTGTAATGCTGACCACCTCATGTCCTATAATCATTGCTTCATCAGTGTGGTTTTGTAAATCTGTGCAGGTACATTTGCTGAAGAAATATGAGGCAGATAGGAAACCAGCAAATATTGCAATGATGGCATTACTAGATGGTTTTCAGAAGGCATACTCTGTTGATTTCGGACCTCTAAATGTGTTACGAGCCGCCGCATTCCATGGAGCGCAGTATATCTCACCGCTGAAAAGGAATATTATTTCATATGCTTCAGGCGAGCAGAGACTACCACTTTTCTCTTGAGATAGGTGTGTACTTTTTGAATCAAATGGTGCTTGCAGATGAGTTTATTTTGTATATCGGTTCTGTTATTTTATCATCTAGCATGATTAACAGCACTACGAGGAAAAATTTGAATAAGTTTGCATGTTATGGGTGGCTGGTTTAGAATTGAGTAACTTGTGCCCAACTTTTAGAGCACATTCGTTTGATGAATGTCATGCACCCAACTTTCACCTTTATGATACGCAAAAGGGAAGACACCTATGGTGTACCTTTTTTTCTCACAATTATGTGGAAACCAATATTTGTAGGATCCACATGTTTGTGAGAGACAAGGATACACTTATGTTTTTGTTTTTGAATTTGTTTTTGTATCACTTAAACAATTATAATGAAAAGTTTGAAAATACTTAATATTTGTTAAAATTTTAAAATACCGTTGTGTTTGGAAACAATTATGCAAACAAGTTGTGTTTTTCCCGGGTAAACAAAAATGAAAACAGAAGCAAACAGGCTTACTAGATTTGACTAAAACAAATGCATTCCTCCTTGATTAGGGAAAAATATTAAGCAGTTTCGAAGCATTATTGTAGAATGTGCATATCATAATTTTGATCAATGAGGCCTCACAAAGGGAATATGTGAGGTAGATATGGTCTACCATTGAGCTAAAAAATCAAGTGAGCCCTATCCATTCAAAAATATAACTCGTATTAGTTTGAAGCATCATATCAGCATGTGCAATTAGTCGTTCACGATTATTGAATAATTATTTGTTTAATTATAAACTAGATCATCTCTTGTCATCTAAAAGTGATTAACCATTCATTCCGGCTCCATAAACCTATTATAAGATCCACTTTAATGATCTAATATATTTATTTTTTTAAGCATTCGTGTGTAGATCATTTTTGTCGGTGCCACCTATGTCATAGGCTCCCCATTCATCCCAATCCTTTATCCTTCTAGGCAACCCCCATCTTCACGCAAAGTAGTCTCAAACCAAATCATATGAAGACAGAACATGGGGTTTCAACCTTGCGTTTACAACTTGTTTTTCTTGTCCATCATTCACCCATTTTGTAAGGATAGATAAGAAAAGAGCCTGAGATATTGTTCACGCAAAGTAGTCACATGTTTTTCTTGTCTTACAACATGTTATGCACTTTCTTTTAAGATACAATAAAATTATGGGGCATTTACAAACAAATCTCATTTTGTAAACTTATACTCCATTGAGTCCTAAATAAAATTATTTGCTCCTTCAAGTCCCATTAATTTTTAATAGACCAAATTATCCTTCCAACAAACTCCAGGCGAGCTCGGTGTGGCCTTTCCTCTCCCTTTCGTCCTCAAATCCTCCATCAACGTCCTTGATGGAGCTTCGTTGCTGGAAGCTTAGTAGTGAAACCATGTCCAAAAACCTCCTCAAAACCTTTTTGGTGATGATCGTAGCTGAGAGGGTAATTTATATATAAATTGGGCCGAGCTGGGTAAAGGGTCATTCTGTGGGCCACGGTAAGAAGGGCTGAGTAAAAGGGCATTGTAATTAGTCCGGTCCAGAAGAGCCTTGCAGATAGTCTGTTCCGAAGGAGCTTGGTGGTTAGCTCGGTCACCATGGTCGGCGCGGTGATAGTTAGCTCGATTATACTATATTGGGCCGAAGTATGTTGGCTTTTGCTTAGGACCTTGCTGTTAGATAGCTCGGTCCAAGCTCGTTGTGGATAGCACGGTTTCAGACAACCCAGTTGGAATATGTCAACCGAGGTACACGCGCAATGAAAGGAAGAACTGAGCTAGCTCGAGCTCGGTCTAGTCTGCGGCTTTAGCGTGGCCATGTTATCTCGGTCGTATTGACATCTAACTGTGGTAAAACCATCTCACTTGGTTTAAGCAGTGAGGGGGGTGTTGAAGGATAAACATTATCTTTCAGGAAGGTGATTCCTAGGAGGACTCTACATGGAGGAGTAAGAGTCCTACTTGGATTGTGGCATACGGAACCTATAAAAGCTCATAACATCACTTATGGAGAGGTAACACAACTTTGATTCCCGAATACACCGAGTTTTTTTGTCTATTTGTCTATTTTGCTAACTTAGGCATCAGAGAGGTATCTGGTACACACCCGCCGGCTAGCTCACGTTTGTGTTTTCAGGGAGTAAAGCGACGTCGTACGAAGGAGCGCAGACTTGATTAACAGGATTATACGAGAAGGTTTATTTTCTTTCCCGTACAATTGGCGCCGTCTGTGGGAATATCAAACAAAGAACAAAACCTCTTGATCAAGTTTCCCTCGCTAGTTGAATGGCGCACAACGAAGATTTGTCGCAATCTGCCATCGACGGACAAACCCCAGAAGGGGGTGAGAGGCGCGAAGGTTTGCCCTCTATCCCTCCCATGACGGACTTAGAGCCCCAGCGACAGAATCCCTAGAGGGATGCAAGGGGGAGGCGGAACAACAGCCCCCGTCGCTCTCGCTCACAAAGTCCTGAAAGGCAAAGGCGAAGAATCGACCCTCAAGCTCTGGAGGATCGCGTAAAAGAGCAAGATGAACTAATAAGGAAGATGGCGGCGGACATGGAGGCCATGAAGCGCCAGATCAAGGGAAAAGGGGTGACGACAGGAGAGGGGCGCAAAGGCAACACGCCCCCTCGCCACTCGGAGTATCATGGTAGGCAAACCACACCGTCTCAAGCAGAGAGTAAAAGCCTCAGGACAGGCGACACTCAATCAAAGTCTTCCAGAACTCGTTACTCCAGGTCTGAGAGAACGAGATCATTGAGGTTTTACACTGAGGGAAGCACCTATCGGCCCTCACATACGCACCAGACATCGTCCAGGAAAACAGAGTTGCCTAAATCGTCCGACTTACGGACTGTGCTTGAAGAAAAGGCACAACGGAAGAAGGATGCCAGGGCACGCGACCTGCACAGAGTTTCAGCCCTTCAGCGGTTGGCTCCTTAAACGCATGGAAGCGTCGAGGTTGGAATGCCAATACCGCACCTTGCCTACGAACCAACAGATAAAGCATTGGCATGACTACATAGCTCGCCGTTCATTCCGGCGATTGAGAACGCACCATTACCCTCAGGCTTCATACAGCCTAAATTTACCACGTACGAGGGAAAGACAGACCCTTACATGCACTTAAGCCACTTTCGCCAAGTCATGGCAGTATACCGGCGGAACGAAGCTTTGATGTGCATCTTATTCCCATCCAGCCTTGGCGACCTAGGTTTAACCTGGTTCGAAAGGTTACCATAAGGCAACATAGCCTCCTGGGCGCAATTAGCGGAGGCGTTCGTGACAAGGTTTAGAACGAACACTAAGACGCCAGTAGAGATCGATCAGCTACTTTCCATTGACATGGGCAACAAGGAGACGTTGAGATCCTACAACAATCGCTACTAGGAGATGTTCAACCAAATAGGGGACTGCCCCACAAATCTCGCCATCGCACAATACAAAAGAGGACTTCCAGTCGGAAACAAATTGAGGGATTCGATTACTATGACTCTACCCCTTACGATGAAAGCCTTAATGGAGAGAGTGCACCAACATAGTCGGGTGGAAGAGGATGACGCCCATGCAAAGGCAAAATCTGGTACAACAGCAACACCAGAAAGAAGACTACGACAAAAGTCAACACGGTAGAACGTCCAAGCAAGAATAGATGAGGCAGGCGAGACAACGAAGAGGACCGAGATAAAAGATGGTTGAGAGTCCGCACTGCCATTACCACGGTATTCAAGAAACCAATCTACCGAATTCTCAGTGAGATACGTGATGAATCTTTCGTCAGATGGCCAGCTAAGCTGGGGAGAAGCACAAAAGGACTACGACGAAAGATCTCGGTGCACCTTCCATAAGGAAAAAGGGTACCGCACTGAAAATTGCACACCGTTGCGACAACATCTGGAGGAGTTAGTGGCAGCTCGTCACCTGGACTGGTACATAGAAGGAAGGACGCAGCGAGCCCCCCAAAACCACGATCACCTAGACGGAACACCAAATGACACCCCACCTCAAGGCGTGATAAACGTAATACATGGGGTATTCGAGCCTGAACGAGTATGTGAACTCAGGGGCATGATAAAGAAGGCTGAGCACTTAAGGGAGGTATTGAGTGCACAGCCCACCATTAAAAAGGAGAAAACAAAGGCCACGAACGTCATGTCTTTCTTAGACAAAGACTTGGCAAGGATATATTGCCCTCACAATGACGCACTAGTCGTCACACTCCGCGTCGTGGATTACGACATCAAACGGATTTTAATCCACCAAGGAAGCTCGTGCGAGATAATGTATTACGAAACCTTCAAACAACTGAAATTGAAGGACAAAGACTTGGCACCTGCCGTATCTCCCCTGATCGGGTTCAACTCAATGCCAGAATGGCCAGTCGGCAAGATAATCCTCCCAGTCAGAGCAGGAAGCATGACTAAACAAGTGGAATTCTGGATATTGAAAGTGCCCTCCACTTACAACATAATCTTGGGAAGGACATGGCTGCATGCCATGAGAGCAGTAACATCAACCTACCATCAAGTAATGCGATTCCCCAATGAAGCCGCGGTAATTGAAGAAGTCTATGGAGACCAAATTATGTCCAAGCAATGCTTCGTCACAGTAAATGGCAGCCGAACTGCCAAGGGGTTTGTTCAGATGGTGGAAGAGCCCGAGAGTAATGAATTGTTTGCGGATGTTGGCAAAGCCGCTGAACAGAAGGCAGTGGAAGACTTGGTACATGTAAGAATAGATGAAAAGAACCCGGATAAGCTCTTTTTGCTTGGCTCATCTATGTCCAGCACTAAGAGAATAGAGGTCATGGAATTCTTGACCTCTAACATCGAAGTGTTTGCCTGGACGCTGTATGACATGCCTGGCATTGACCCAAGCTTCATCTGTCACCAATTGAATGTCCACCCAACTGCCAGACCAATTATACAGCGCACTCGCAGATTGACACTCTACCATGCCGAGATAGTGGTAGAAGAAGTAGAAAACCTGCTGGAAGCAGGAGCTATCAGAGAGGCGCACTACCCTAAATGGATCTCCAATGTAGTAGTGGTGCCTAAGAAGAATGAAAAATGACGTGTCTGTGTGGACTACAAAACGGTCAACAAGGCATGCCCAAAAGACAGCTTTCCTCTTCTACGGATAGACCAACTGGTAGATTTGATGGCAGGACACAACCGTCTTAGCTTTCTTGATGCGTACAGAGGATACCATCAGATCG